AAAGAGAATACAAATAGGGTTTACAATCTCTCAAATCTAAACCCTCAAACAATCTCTTTCTCTCACACAAATATCTCTCTCAAAAGGATGTACAAACGCCTAACAAAAGCCACTGCAATTTTCCCCAAACACAGCCGCCAAGCACTCTGCCTGTACGCTGTCCTTTGCTCACAAACCCCTGCAATGCTTTTCTCTGCAGCCGCACACCTTCACAAAAAAATCTCCTTGCACTGCGCCTCTGTTCCGCAGCCACAAAAAGAAAACAAAAAAAAACTCCTTTTCGCCCAGCCCTAAGAGAATTGCACTAAGGTATTTATAAAGCTCCATGGGTCTTCGGGTGGGCCTTTCACTTTGTCCGCTGGACAAAATCAATTCACGCGTTTACTAACCAACCAATTCACGCGTTTCTCCTTTGCCCACCTATCTAATCTCGTGGTCCCCAGCTCTTCATGTGTTCACGTGAATTCATTCACGTGGGTTCACAATTCTCCACCTCGGCGAAGTTTTCTCAAAACTGAGCCGACACCAACCATACCAAATGTCTCACTTGTTGTGTCCAATACGAAGTGAAACAATTCACGATAACAGACTCAATCCATAACAAGTCGAGAACCCAAATGAGAGTGCAAACACTCTCCAAACGTCGGTATCTACTCACCAAATCGATCACACCCCCATCAAAATTCAACCCGGCTGCATCATAAAGACTGCCTACGTATCCTCTTGCCCAAGGAATCAAGCCGAACGTAGTTCACCCAAATGGCCTCCAAATGCCTCAATCCAATAGAAGAGTTCGTAACCCTTCTCCAATATCATCAACTCTGCGGCTGATAGCACCTCCAATGGCCTCAAACACCTCCACCTGAGGCGAACCAATTGCCATATCCAAACTATGTCTGTCAGCTGCACTCGAATCAAAAATCCAACTCATCATCTGCATCCGAATCCAAATAACTTCCACGCTGTGTCACCTCAGCTGGAATCCCAACCAATGCAGAATGACCTGGAGTATGTGGGAAAATCCCCATCCAATGTGGAGTAGCATCAATCTCCACCCGCTGCGATACCTCTAAGGTCTGTCCAAAACTCTCCACCTGCTGAGAGTCAATTAGCTCCCTCATCGAAGCCTCAACCAAAGTGACACTACCAGACCTATCTTCTAATGAAGTTTTACCTCCAATCACAGCAGTTGACAACTCTATAATAGGATGACCCAAATATGTCGAAGCCTCAGTCCAGAACCTCTTCTGCAAACCATTGCTCGACCACAAACACCGCTCCTCCTCCAGTAAGGTACGGTTCTCCAAATTTGTCACCCTATCTAGCTGCCCCAAGATTTCCTTTCCAATGAAGTGTCTCGAAATGCCGTGAGCTCGGCTCCAATACAGAAACAGGTCCATCTTGTACCTCCCATCAGAATGGAGTACCTTCACCTTTCTGTCTATTACACACTTCTTCAATCTGTTGGATACTACTAGGACTTTATCCATAGGGGATTTGGTTGCAACCCAAACACGCCTAGAATAGCCACCAACAAAGGAAACCAAACGCCTATTACCTCCCAATGATGCCCCCTTGGAAGGCCCCCAAACATCCACGTGAACTCCTCCAGAACGACCATTAGCACGGTGAATAGAGGTGCCACACTTCACCTCGGTCTTCTTGTTCACATCAACATGTTCACTAGACTTCAAACTGCAGGTCTTCGCACCCTCTTTCAATCTATGCGAGGAATCAATACTAGAATGGCCAAGCCCCAAATGCCGCAGTCTAGTCGAATCAACAGAAGTCGTTAGCTCTTCACCTGCCACTATACCTCCAGTCAAGTAATACAGGTTATTTCTCCTGACGTCCTTCATCACAATCCGAGAGTCTTCCACAATCTTGAGAACCATGTCATCAATTCGAACCTTCAGACCCTCTCCAACCAAAGCTCCAATCGAAATCAAGTTTTTCCTCAAAGAAGGAACATATCTCACATTATTTATCTCCCTAACAGTCCTGTCAAACATTTTTATGCGAATTCTTCCTATCCCAAGGATCTGGCATGCACGGTTATCAGCCATGTACACCACACCACTATCCACCAGCTTCACAAAACTGGAGAACCATTCCCTTCTAGGGCACACATGATAGGTCGCATCACTATCCAACATCCATTCAGATTCCTCCGAATAGCTATCTGTAGGACTGATAGAAAGCGAATAAATAGAAGAGTCAGAATTATTACCATCCGATACGATATTTGCTTCTGATGATGGCTGCTTCCCTTTTCCCTTCTGTTTATTCTTCCTCCATTCGTCGAGCTTTGGGCAGTCTTTCTTCCAATGACCAGTCTCCTTGCACCAAGCACACTGATCTTTTCCAATTGTAGGATACCCTACTCTAGACTGTGACTTTCAATTCTTTCGGTTTGGACCCTTCCTTCTTACGACCAACGCATCCGCTACCGACTCAACTGAAGCCTCCTTATCCTTCTTTCGAAGCTGATAATTCACAAGTGCAGCGGTGCCGACTCAACTGAAGCCTCCTTATCCTTCTTTCGAAGCTGATAATTCACAAGTGCAGCGGTGACCTCACCATACGAAAGGGTTGTCTTCCCATTAATAAGAGTAAGGACGAAGGTCTCATATTCCTCGTCGGGCAAGGAACTCAACAACAGCAACGCCTTGTCCTCATCTTCAATCTTGACATCCACATTCGTCAAATCCGCAAGAAGCTTTGTGTAGTGGTTCATGTGATCTCTAATGGAGGTTCACTTCTTCAACTGGAAACGATAAAGTCTCCTCTTCAAATGCAAGCGATTTTCCACACTCTTGGTCAAATACTTGCTTTCGAGAATCTCCCAAATCTTCTTCGCAGAAGTCTCATTCATCACATCATATTTTAGATCTTGAGTCAAACAAGACCTAATCACACCACACGCCGTTCGATTCATCTTCTTCCAAACCTTCTCTTCAATCTCATCTGGCTTGCCATCTAACTCCAATGTATCCTCCAAATTCTGCGCGTTCAGCGCATCCAAAACCTCGCATCTCCATAATCCAAAGTTGTTTGTGCCATTAAATTTCTCCACATCTATCTTCATAGAATGGATATTCAGACTTTGAATGGTCTTCGCGCCAGAAGCACCGCCCTCGACACCCGAAGCACCTTCTTTCCCCGACATCTTACGCACCAAGAACGAAGAATAGATCCAAAACTAAAAAGATAGAGTCTTTACCAAAAGATCCCACCTTTATCACCAACGAAGCCCTAAACGAGCCTCCAAATTGATCTACTCCTCCAACCAAACCCTAGATCTGGAATCTGGGCTCTGATACCACTTGTTGTGCGCAGCGAAAATTTCGACAGAGTTTCTGGTGCACAATAATAGAGAAATATCGATAAGAATTCCCGTCTCACCAAGGAAACAAGAATCTGAAGCGGATATCTCAACCAAGTGAGATATCGGCTCTTCCTCTTATCAGTTCTAGGACTGACCTGTCGAGGGATCCTAAAAAGCTATTACAATGGCCACAAACTCAAACAATCAATTTTACGTGGTTCGGCAAACTGCCTACGTCCATGGGGCAAGGAGGGGGAGATCTACTATTAGAGGGAAGATAATACAACTAGGGTTTACAACCACTCAATCTAAACCCTCACACAATTATCTCTCTCCTCACACAAATATCTCTCTCAAAAGGATGTACAAACGCCTAACAAAAGCCACTGCAATTTTCTCCAAACACAGCCGCCAAGCACTCTGCCTGTACGCTGTCCTTTGCTCACAAACCCCTGCAATGCTTTTCTCTGCAGCCGCACACCTTCACAAAAAAATCTCCTTGCACTGCGCCTCTGTTCCGCAGCCACAAAAAGAAAACAAAAAAAAACTCCTTTTCGCCCAGCCCTAAGAGAATTGCACGAAGGTATTTATAAAGCTCCATGGGTCTTCGGGTGGGCCTTTCACTTTGTCCGCTGGACAAAATCAATTCACGTGTTTACTAACCAACCAATTCACGCGTTTCTCCTTTGCCCACCTATCTAATCTCGTGGTCCCCAGCTCTTCATGTGTTCACGTGAATTCATTCACGTGGGTTCACAATCTCAAGAGTTGCAATCATCCTATTATTGTAAGGCAATGTATATTTAGATTGTAGAGTTTATATAAAGTATAAAATTATGACTCTCAATCTTTACCACAACTTCAAAGTTTGGTGCAGTGACAGGGTTCTTTAACATGGTTTTAAAGTAAACCAGGTTTGAATCTTACTGGTTGAGTTTCTAAAGAGGATTTAAAAAAAAAAATTCTTCGTGAGTCTAGGTTTAGCCCCATGAAAGGGCCTTCAACATAAGAGGGCGTGTTAGAGTATAATAGTATTAACACTCAACCATCATCATAACTTAGAAGTGTTGGTATAGTGGCAGGGATCTTTGACAATATCTCTCAACATTAAGTCCATTCTTAATTGCTCTGTTGGTTGTAGAGTGAGAGTTGCAAATGAGCTTGGTGCCGGTAATGGTAAGGGTGCAAGATTTGCTACTATCGTCTCAGTAGTGACCTCCACCATCATTGGACTTTTCTTCTGCATTGTGGTAATGGTGCTTCGTGACAAAGTTGCTCTCATCTTCACCTCGAGTTCAGATGTCCTTGAGGCTGTTGATAGACTTTCGGTTCTTTTGGCTGCAACCATACTACTCAACAGTGTCCAACCTATACTTTCTGGTGAGCATATCTCATCTTTAAAGGTGTTCTGTGTTCAAGTAAACGTTAAATCTCATATGAACACAGTCTTGACATTATTTAGATTTTAGGGTTAATTGCCGATATATTCCCTGTAGTATTTGATGTTTTGAACTTACTATCCTTTTAGTTTTATATTTGCAGACAAACCCCTGACTAAAATTCTTTTCACTCTTTTACCTTCATGGGGTGTATTTGATGGAACACAAATTCTCTCTTTCGCTGAAGGTAAAAGAGCCGACATATATTCACCCAGGGGGTCTATTTGCAACAATAAAACTAGATGGCTAGTAAGTTTAAACAGTGATACCGTATGATGTTTCTAAGCAATTAGCCTAAATTATCTGTTTTTGGTTTAACATATTTCGCTTTCATTCTTTCAGGTGTAGCCGTTGGTTCTGGATGGCAAGCGATGGTCGCATATATAAACATCGGTACCTACTATCTAATTGGGATTCCTGTGGGAATTCTCATGGGATGGATCTTCAATTTAGGAGTTTTGGTATGTTTCCTCTCATCTGTTCTTTCACCATAAATATTATTTGCTTCTAGTTTGACAAAGTGCGGTGATAATGACTGGAACTAACAGAGGTCAGAGGAGGAGCCTTTTGTTTACACGTTTGGGGAGGTGTTGTTGGGGGATGTTCTCTTAGCTATTATGCAAAATTAAAAATAAAACAATAATAATAATAATAATAATAATAATAATAATAATAATAATAAACTAAGATACAATATCAAGCTTAATTATAGTGAAAGCAGAAAAGAATTACATATACAAGTACTAGAATTAACACAAGATCGACTAGGGGTATATTAGCATCACAGACATCATTGTTATGCTTCGTTATCAATACATTTTAGGGTTCATATCTTCTTGAGACATCTCTGTCCGACATGTAAATTTATATCTTCTTATTCTTCTTTTCTGTTTTATTTTCCCCTTTTATACATTATATTCAATCTGTACTTTGTATTACAGGGAATTTGGGGTGGAATGATCGGTGGAACAGCAGTTCAAACATTGATATTAGCGTTCATTACCATTCGATGCGACTGGGATAAAGAGGTGAAATTACTTTATGCGATCCTAAATTTACATTGTTGTTTATATAATTTAAATTCTGAAAATAAATGCAGCTTTTTGTGAAATTTTCGTAATATATCGTGAAACTTTATTTGTTTTGTAGGCTTTGATAGCTAGCAAACGCATGGAGGAAGAAGGCGGCTCAAAATAATTTCATAGTATGTTAATTATCATTAAGATGTGATGAATCGTCGTGGAGAAAAATTTGAGGAAAATTAAATTCGATAATTGTGTTGATTATCACTATCAGTCTGAATGGACTGTAGTAGTTGAAGGTAATAAAGAGAAAGTAGCAGTACTGGAGACTGTTGGAAACATTGTTGCGCATCTATGCGGAAGCGTGCTCGCACACCGAACGAATCTGTGATCACAAGAGAAGAGAACCAACCATACACGAGCATAATTCAATCCAAATACGACAAATCAAACCAAACACAGAGATATATGTGGTTCGGCAATTTTCCTACGTCCACGAGGAGAGGATAGAGAGATTCTACTAAATCAAGGAGAGTACAAAGGGTTACAATTTCACAAAATCACTCACACAAACCCTAAACCAAATCTCTCAACTTACTTACAAGTTCTCCCTCTCAAAGTGCTCAGAATACTCACAAATCTTTGTTATAACCCTTCTCTCTGTTATAACTCTTCTCTCTTTTAACCCTAGAAACAAGTGTTTCTAATTTATATCAAAACCCAATCAGAAAACGAGCAGGAAACAAAACAGCCCAATATCCGCTACGCGGTCGACCGTCGAGTCAATATTACGGTCAACCGTAAAAAGTCCAGAGACTTAATCACCTACAGAGCTTGGGCGTGGTCGACCACAGAACCCATTGCGGTCGACCGCCAAAATTCCAGAGACTTTCCCTGACGCCGTGCACGTTTACGGTCGACCGTCGTGCCACTCGCAGTTGATCGTGAAACTACATGTTTGTTTTTCTCCTGAACTTTGTCGTTTCTACAATTCTTCACCTCGGCGAACGTTTTCCCAAAACTAAGCCGACACCAAACAAATAGTACCAATGTGTCGTCTCTCCAAATTCGGCTGTACCAATATGGTTGTCTACGTACCCCCTCTCCCAAGAGATCAAGCCGCCCGTAGTTCATCCAAATAGCCGTCAACGGTCTCAACAATCACAAATGTGCAACAAGTTTCGACAATGATCAAACTTGTTACTCGGAACCACCTTAGTGAGCATATCCGTCGGATTATCCTTTGTGTGGACCTTCCAATCTTCACATCGTCATCTTCAAGAACGTCCCAAACAAAGTGATAATGAACGTCAATGTGTTTTGTCCGAGCATGAAAAACCTGGTTCTTCGCTAAATAGATAGCACTCATGCTATCACAATGAATAGTGACGGACCTCTGCGAAATACTAAGTTCATCCAAAGTCCCCAAAGCCAAATAGCCTCTTTCACAGCCTCTGTAATCGTCATATACTCTACCTCCGTCGCCGACAAAGTCACCGTAGACTGTAAGGTGCATCTCCAACACACCGGCGCACGGGTTAAAGTGAACACATACCCCGTAGTATATCGGCGCTTATCCAAATCCCCGGCATAATCCGAATCAACATAGCAAATGCACAACTGCTCACCTATAGTGTCCCGCTTGAAAACCATACCAACATTGAGCATACCTCGAATGTACCTTAAAATTCATCTCATGACGTCCTAATGACCCACTCCTAGATCGTGTATGTATCTCGAAACCATGCTCATCGCCTGTGACAAATCTGACCTCATACATACCATCGTGTACATCAAGGTCCCAACCGCGCTCGCATATGGAGTTTTCGACATCAACTCTCGATCTTCAACTATTTTTGGTGAAAGGTCAGCTGAAAGCTTCAAATGGGCTCCCAAAGGTACACTAATTGGCTTCGTATCCATGCTGACATGAAATTGCTGTAGAATCTTCGTCAAATAAGCCACTTGTATCAAACAAATTCTACTCTTCTCTTTGTATCTGCCGATCTCCATCCCTAAAATGCGCTTAGCCTCACCTAAATCCTTCATCTCAAACTCCTTTGAAAGATGTGTCTTCAACTCATCTATAGAAGACCTGGAAATAAAGGCAACCAATATGTCATCAACATAGAACAATAAATAGATGTACGCACCTCTTTTCAACTTGCGAAAATACACACAATGATCAAACTGGCCCGAGTGTACGAATGACCAATCATAAAACCATCAAATCGCCTATACAACTGTCGAGGAGACTGCTTCAAACCGTATAACGATTTCTTCAACCTGCAAGCCAGGTTTTCCTTCCCTACAGCTCGGAATTCCAATGGCTAAGTCATATATATTTCTTCATCAAGATCACCTTGAAAAAATACCGTCTTCACATCCAACTGATCTAACTTCAATCCATACTATGCCACCAAAGTTAGCAAAATCCAAATCGAAGAGTGCTTCACCGCTGAAGAAAAAACCTCATTATAATCAATACATTCCTCCTGTGCATAGCCCTTCGTGTATACCCACTTGCAACCAATCGCCTTCCGCCCATTTGGAAGCTCAACAAGTTTCTACGTATCGTTATTGTGAAGAGACTCTATCTCTTCCTGCATAGCCACCTGCCACGAATTAGCCTCTGAACTCTGCTCGGTCTCTCTGAATGTAGTAGGAACCAATTCATCAATACTCTCCACCAGAAGTGCATATGCAACTACTGTGTCGGTATACAAGGTTGGCATCCGTATGTCTCTCCTCTGTCTTCGAATTGCAATAGAATCTTGAACCTGAGTCGTTGGTCCCTGATTCTGCACAACTATACCCGTATCCTCCTCGTCATTGCCGTGCTCGCCTGACATCAGCTCAGTCGGTACTTTAATGGATACTGTACCATCTGGACAATGTGGAGCTACATCGATCTCCATCACTTGTGATATCTCCTCTGTTGGGTTACTCTCCACCTAATGAGAATTGGGAGGCTTCAAGATAGAAGCCTCATCAAACGTGACGTCCCTACTCAGCACAATCTTTCTATCAACAGGATCTCATAGCTTGTATCCCTTGACACCATGCTTGAATCCTACAAATATGGTCTTCCTAGCTCGAGGTTCCAACTTATCAGTCTTCACATGATAGTATGCATGGCACCCAAATACCTTGAGCTGATCATAATCGTGTGCTGGCTCTCCCGACCACATCTCTATATGGGTCTTTCCCTCAATTATAGATGAAAGCAGCCTGTTAATGAGATGGCTCGCATATGAAAGTGCCTCAGCCCAAAACATCTTCTCCAAACCACTATGCGCCTATAAACATCAGATCTTCTCCAGCAAAGACCGATTTAACCTCTCTACCACCCTATTTTGCTATGGTGTATGACTAACTGTGAAGTGTCTCTTTATGCCATCGTCTTGGCATAGCTGCAGAAAGGGGTCTGATGTGTACTCGCCGCCATTGTCGGATCGCAACGTCTTGATCTTTCTCCCAGTCTACAGTTCCAACCTCTTCTTCTATTTCAAAAATATATTTAGGACTTCACTCTTCTTTATCATGGTGTACACCCAACAAAGTCTAGAATAGTCATCAACGAACGGGACGAACCAATATCGACCATCAAGTGATGCAGTCTTGGTGGGACCCCAAACATCTGTGTGCACATAATCCAGGATGCCCATCGTCCTATGAATGATTGTCCCAAACTTCACCTTCGTCTTCTTGCCAAGAACACAGTACTCACAAAACTCAACCTTTTCATTATTGGCTCCCTTCAATAGCTCCTACTTGCACAAAACCTACAGTGACTTCTCTCCTGTGTACCCCAACCTGTAGTACCAAAGTTTGCTAATATCCGCCTCTAAAATAGCTGAAGCAACCTGGCCAATCTCGGTGCTTCCCTTCAGATAATATAAGTTTCGACTACAGACTCCCTTCATCATCATCATCAAAGATCCCTTAGGAACATTTGCTACAACATCCTCAAAGGTCACCCTGAATTCCTTTGCCTCCAAAGCTCCAACTGAGAAAAGATTCTTCTTCAACTGAGGAACAAATCTCACCTTCTTTAATTCACGAACTATTCCATCGTGCATCCGAATCCTCATGATATCTATTCCACAAATGCCACAGGATTGATCATTTTTCATGACCACAACACCCCCATCGAGTCTCTCAAATAATAAAAAAACAATCTCGCATAGGAGTCACATGATAAGTAGCGTCAGAATCAAGCATCCAATCTGATGCATTCAAGTGATTCACCTCCGGAGTAATCAATAGAGAAAAGCTCGAATCATTGGAATCATCACCTTTCATAATATTCACCTCATTGGTCTTTGGGCCCTTCTTCTTGCTATTCTCCTTTTCCTTGACCTTTGGACAGTCTCTCTTCCAATGTTCCTGCTCCTTACAGAATGCACATTGGTTCTTTCCTAGCTGGTGATGACCTTTTGACTTTGACATGCCTCTATTGCCACCTCTCGGATATGATCTTCTACCTTTCGTCGACAAGGCCTCTCCTGAAGTATGTTCGCGGGAAAAATTGTAGCTTTCATCATTGATTCCATTGTACACTCTTGTAATAGTTTATCGAT